TTCTCGTGTGTCTGGAGGCACCGCGCCGTGGGCGCGCTGGGCGGCTCCTTCAGGCCGAGCTGGCCCAGGAAGCCTCCGTCGATGGTGGCCCAGGAAGCGACCTCCTTCTGGTCAGGTCGTATCAGGAATACCCTCCTCCTCCTCATCATCGTCGCCATCACCATCACCATCACCACCACCATCACCATCACCATCACCAGCACCAGCACCATCATCATCATCATCATCATCATCATCATCATCATCATCATCATCATCATCATCATCATCATCATCATCATCACTCATCATCACTCATCATCATCATCATCATCATCATCATCAGCATCATCATCATCATCATCATCATCATCATCATCATCATCATCATCATCATCATCATCATCATCATCATCATCATCATCATCGTCATCGTCGTCGTCTTCATCATCATCATCATCATCATCATCATCATCATCATCATCATCATCATCATCATCATCATCATCATCATCATCATCATCATCATCATCATCATCATCATCATCATCATCATCATCATCATCATCATCTTCGTCATCATCATCATCACCATCATCATCATCGTCATCATCAGCACCACGATCATCATCATCATCGTCATCATCGTCGTCGTGATCATCGTCATTGTTATAACCATCACCATCATCATCACCACCATCATCAACTTCACCATCACCATCATCATCAACAACATCATCATCATCGTCATCATCACCATCATCATCAGCATCATCATCAATATCATCATCATCATCATCCTTTCCACCATCACCATCACCATCACCATCATCACCAACACCATCATCAGCACCATCATCATCAACATGATACCCACCACCACCATTATTACCATCATCATCATCATCGTCGTCATCATCATCGCCATCACCATCATAACCATCATCAGCATCATCTGCATCATCATCAGACCATCAACATTATTACCATCATCACCTCTATCACCATGGCCAATACCATGAGCATGCCCATCATCATCATCATCATCATCATCATCATCATCATCATCATCATCATCATCACCACCATCACCATTACAATCAGCGTCATCATCACCATCACCATCACCATCATTATCATCATCATCATCATCATCATCATCATCATCATCACCATCATCATCATCATCATCATCATCATCATCATCATCATCATCATCATCATCATCATCATCATCATCATCATCATCATCATCATCATCATCATCATCATCATCATCATCATCATCATCATCGTCGGCATCACCCTCGCCTTTCTCTCATCGTCATCCTACTCATCTGTCTTTGTGCTCCTCCTGCATTCTCCTCCTCCTCCTCCTCCTCCTCCCCCTCCTTCTCATCATCTTGCTTACTCTGACTTTTCCTCCTCCTCCTCCTCCTCCTTCCTGCCTCCTCGTCCTCCATCCCTTTCCTTCAAAACAACTCCTCCCTGTTGCAACCTCAGGCGTGAGAGCAGGCCAGTCTGGGCGTTTCGCATGAGACTTCCTCACCATTCATGATCCTTGATCTGAAAGTTTGCAACAATTTCACGGATGGTGTGCGAGTCGTTTTTTTACACGTGGCTCTCGCCTTAGCGCTGCGCGCGTTCGTAAACTTCGCGGACGGAGGACGGGGCGTTTTCAAGATGTGGCTCTCGCCTCTGCGCCGCGCGCAATCGTCTTACCAAAAATGGATTCCCGCGCGGGCAACCCACCAATTACAGGGGCACCGAGGGGGGGTGGGGGGAAAGCCGAGGAGCCCTCTTTTTATTTACATGGCGCAAAGTGGGATTTGCCTTTCTGCGGTCCGCTGCCCGCCACTTTAGGGCGGTAGTGTAGGGTGGGAGGAGAAAGGGTGCAACCTGCTCGAGCCCACGCGGGTACGAAGCAAGAAGAGGCAGGGAGAGAGAGATAACAACCACCGATTCCCGCGCGGGTGACCCACCAATTTCCGTGGCACCGAGGGGGGGGCAAAGCCGCGGAACCCTATCTTATATTGCGCAAAGTGGGGTCAGCCACTCTGCGGTCATTGCGACGGGGTCCCGACCCCCCTCTCCAAAAACTAATGCAAGCGTGCCCGCCAGGCCGCAACGCATTCGGGGCCCCCGCACACGCGAACGGTGCAGGGTGGCTCCGGAGGAAAGAGGTAGGGCGTGAAGGAGGGCCTTCTGCCAGCGGGCGCCTCCCAAGATGTGCACCACAGCGGGGCTGGAGTGCAAGGCAACGGAGCAACCAGCCGCTGGCAAGGGTGCACCGTGGGTGGGCCGACAAAGTGTGCACGAGGCTGGGCTAGAAGCACCGGCAAGCCCCACTCTGTCACGAGTGGCGCTCGACCCCGAACGCCCGCAGTGCGGTCGCCGCCGAGTCGACACGACACGAACCTGCCGCACGTGCTGTACGGCAGGTTCGCGTCGTGCCGACCGGCGGCGGCCCCAGCGCGTGTGTTCAAGGGTGAACGCCGCCCGTGGCCCAGACTCGGTCGACGGAACGGCCGATCGCTCAAGTTTGAACGATCCCCGCGGTGTCAGGAACCAAAGCCAGGGTCGACACGACGCGAACCTGCTGTAGCAGAGCACCCCCCCCCACCCGACGTTGTGAGTTTTTCACGTCGTCGACCCCCAAAGGTCTGGAGCCCTCCCCTGGGACCGGCCTATCACCCCGCCCCCCCCAGAAGCCGAAAACGGCCAAAACCCCCCCGCCGTGATTTCCACGACGAGAGGAGGCTAGAGGAAGAAACCACATTTTTACGCACACGCACACACTGGAGGTCGACGAGCATTTCTTGGACCGGCGCTGAAACCCGCCCTGGCGCGCGGAGCGCGCCAGGGGCGGCGCCGGAGCGCCGCCATGGGGGACCCGAGCGCCGATCCAAGAAATCCGCGCGGAGCTCCGAAAGCTTGTGTGTGCGTGTTTCTGCGACCGACGGCACCGCGAGGGAGCTCTCCCCGCCGCGGGCGAGCGCCGCGCATTCCGGCCGTGGCCTCTCGGCCCCCCCCCGCTCGCTCCTGGACGGCGGCGGACTGGTCCTGCAGGTGGCAGCCCCCGTCCTCGGCGAGGTGGCGCGCGCCCTGGTGTGATTTTCAACTGGCGGTTTTGTTCCTCGGTTGCGGCCCTCGGGGGGGCACTCTCGGGCCCCAGGGCCATCAACAACGAATCCCAGACGACAAAAGATCCCCTGGGAGCTGGTCGGGACTCCTGGGGCCGCGGACTGAAAAAGCACACGGGCGGATGTCGGGGTCCTCCTCCCTCGTCCGTCCCTCGCCCCTCTTCCATCCGCCGCCCTCGCCCTTCCGCTCGTCCTCGTCCATCGCCGTCCTCGTCCGTCCCCCTCCACCCGCCGTCCTCGTCCATCGCCCCGTCCTCGCCCCTCGGCTCTCCTCCCTCGTCCCTCCCTCCTCCCTCCTACCTCGTCCTCCTCCCTCGTCCCTGGCCCTTCGTTCTTCTCCTTCTCCTCCTCCGTCCTTCTCCGCGGTCCTCCCCATCGCGTCCCCTCCGGCCTTCCCGCCCCCACACCCTCCCTCCCTCACTCCCTGGTCCTCCCTGCCTCATGCACCCCCCTCGTCCTCGTCCTCTTCGCTCGTACCGTCCTCCTACTCCTCTCCCTGCCTCTTGCTGCTGCTGCTGCTGCTGCTGCTGCTGCTGCTCATCTTCCTCTATCGCCCCCTGTCCACAGCCCATTCCTGCTGGTGCTGCTGCTGCTGTTCCTCCGCCTCTTTCTTCTCTTCCTCCTGCGCCTTCCCCTCCACCCCTTCCTCCTCCACCTCCTCCCTCTCGCCCCCCACCCCATGGCCAATCTCCCTCTCCCTCTCCCTCTCCCTCTCCCGCTCCCGCCCGCTCCCGCCCGCCGGGGCCAGACGAGACGCCCACTCCAAGTCGGCTGCCAAAACAGGTCCAGCCGGGCCGACCCGCGGGGGAGGGGGGGGGGCGAGGCACGAGCGAGCGAGCGCGCACCATCGGCCCGGAGGCCGGAGGGAGGCGAGGGGGAGGCAAGGGCGAGGGGGAGGCAAGGGCGAGGGGGAGGCAAGGGCGAGGGGGAGGGCCCGGCAGGGCGAGGGGGAGGCAAGGGCGAGGGAGGCGGTGGGGAGGGGAGGGGCGCCGAGGGGGGGAAGCGCTCCAGGGCGAGGGGAGGGGCGTGTGGCTGGCGGGGCACGCGTGGGGCCAGCCTTCTGTCGGGGGTCCTGAGGACCGTGTGATAGGGGACCGCGCGGTTTTGTGACCTCGGTGGGAATGCGTTTCGTGGACGCTCGCCTGGACAAAAACACCTTGACACATTGGAGCCGGGGGGGCGGGGTCCCTCCAAGCGGGGGGGTTCGAACCGGGCCCCCCCTCCCTCTCCAAGGAGGGTGGGAAAGGTTCGAACAGGGGGTCTCCCCTCGTGAGTTGCAGGGCGGGGGGGGAGTCGAACCGGACCCCCCTCCTTGTCCACGGGACGGGGGGTTCAGTTGCAAGGGGAGGGGGGGACGTACGAACGAAGGGATGGGTGGGCCCTGTTCAGGGGGGGGGTTCGAACCGGGGAGGGCCCTCCCTTGAATTGCAAGGGTGGCGGGGGCTTTGAACCAGTACCCCTCGCCCCCGCTGCAACCGATGACGGCGAGCGCTGGCGCCAGTGTCGGCGCCGTCGAGCAGCGACGACGACACCGACGACGACGAAAACGACAACGACGACGGCGACGACGACGAGGACGACGACGACAATGGTGACGACGCAGACGACGCCGACGACGCCGACGACGCCGCCGCCGACGACAACGACGGCGACGGCGACGACGACGAAGGGTGATCGCTTGCTCGCTCGCTCACTCGCTAGCTGGAGCAAGCATGCGAGCGAGCGAGGGGAGGAGGGAGTCGGTCCTCTCGCTCACTCGTTCGAGCAAGCGCGCGAGAGTCGGGCGGGTCGGGTCGGCTGGGCGGGACATTCTATGCATGGTGGTCGCTTGCTCGCTCGCTACTTGGAGCAAGCACGCGTGCGAGCGAGCCGGGCGGGTCAGGTCGGGCGGGACATTGAATACATGGGGCTCGCTTGTTCGCTCGCTGAAGCAAGTGAGGATCGGTTCGGGCGGCCACTACATTGAATACATGGTTCACTTGCTCGCTCGCTCGCTCGAGCAAGCAAGCAAGCGAGCGAGCGAGTCGGGCGGCTGGAACATCCCAATATTGCCACGAAACGTGTGAGGGGTGTGCCGAAATGGGGCGGCGGTGCCATGCGGACCCTCCCGCTGGGGCCTTCGATAGAGCTCCCTATGGGCCACGAACCGTGTGAGGGGTGTACCGAAATGGGGCGGCGGTGCCATGCGGACGCTCAGGAAGGGGAGGAGGAGGAGGAGGAGGAGAGGAGGGGAGGAGGAGGAGGAGGAGGAGGAGGAGAGGAGGGAGGAAGGAACGCGGGGCACCGTTTCTTCAAAACGAAGACCCAAAACCACAGGATGGTTGGGAAACATAATTATAGCCGGAGTGCAGTATCCCCAAACAGGGTTTTTAGACCCACTGCGGTTTCCAAAGTCGATTGCGTGCCCGTCCAGTGCGGGCTGGCGTGGCATGTTAAAACATGCCTCCTCCTCCTCCTCCTCCTCCTCCTCCTCCTCCTCCTCCACCTCCTCTTCATCCCGAACGGCATCTCGGAGCCCAGAGTTGCGAGGATGTCTCCAGCGTAACGGGCTGGACCACCTCGCGCGCGGCATCTCGGAGCCCAGAGTTGCGAGGATGTCTCGGGCGAAACGTGCTGCGAGGAAATCTCAGGCGAAACGGGCCGGACCACCTCGAGCGCGGCTTCTCAGAGCTCCGAGTTGCGGGAGCCTCCTGGGGCCTCCTGGGACCTCCTGGTGACCTCCTGGGGCTTCCTCCTGGGCCTCCTGTGGCCTCCTGGACCCCACCTGGGGCTTCCTGAAGCCTCTTGGGGCTCCCAGGGGGGGATCTCTAACATGTGGCCGCTTGGGCCCCTCAAAATGGGGGGGAGGGGGGCCGCAACAGCAGGAAAAATCAACGAATGGACACCGGATGTGTATCAACTTGACACGTTCTGATAGGGTGCCTCCTGGGGCCTCCTGGGAGCCTCCTGGGAATCTCCTGCGGACCCCTGGGGCCTGTCCTGGGCGTCCTGCGGCCTCCTGAAGCTCTCTGGGGCCTCCTGGGGCTCCCAGGGTCCCAGGGGGGATATGTAACATGTGGTCTTCTGGGCCCCCAGGCTGGACCACCTCTTGCGCAGCATCTGAGAGCTCAGAGTTGCGAGAATGTCTTGTGCGAAACGGGCCGGACCACCTTGCGCACGGCATCTCAGAGCTCAGAGTTGCGAGGATGTCTCAGGCGATATGGGCCGGACCATCTCGCGCAGGGCATCTCGGAGCCCAAAGTTGCGAGGATGTCTCAGCGGGGCTGGACCACCTCGCGCGCGGCATCTCGGACCCCAGAGTTGCGACGATGTCTCGGGCGAAACGTGCTGCGAGGAAGTCTCAGGCGAAACGGGCCGGACCACCTCGAGCGCGGCGTCTCAGAGCTCCGAGTTGCGGGGGCCTCCTGGGGCCTCCTGGGACCTCCTGGGGACCTCCTGGGGCTTCCTCCTGGGCCTCCTGTGGCCTCCTGGACCCCGCCTGGGGCTTCCTGAAGCCTCTTGGGGCTCCCAGGGGGGGATATCTAACATGTGGCCGTCGAGCCCTCCCCTAATGGGGGGGGGGGGGCACAAGAGCAGGACAAATCAACGAATGGACACCGGATGTGTATCAACTTGACACGTTCTGTTAGGGGGCCTCCTGGGGCCTCCTGGGAGCCTCCTGGGAATCGGACCCCTATGGACCCCTGGGGCCTGTCCTGGGCGTCCTGCGGCCTCCTGAAGCTCTCTGGGGCCTCTTGGGGCTCCCAGGGTCCCAGGGGGGATATGTAACATGTGGTCTTCTGGGCCCCCAGGCTGGACCACCTCTTGCGCAGCATCTGAGAGCTCAGAGTTGCGAGAATGTCTTGCGCGAAACGGGCCGGACCACCTTGCGCACGGCATCTCAGAGCTCAGAGTTGCGAGGATGTCTCAGGCGATATGGGCCGGACCACCTCGCGCAGGGCATCTCGGAGCCTAGAGTTGCGAGGATGTCGCAGGCGAAACGGTCTCGCGCCGCATCTCGGAGCTCAGAGTTGCGAGGATGTCTAAGGCGATATGGGCCGGACCATCTCGCGCAGGGCATCTCGGAGCCCAGAGTTGCGAGGATGTCTCAGGCGAAACGGGTTGGACCACCTCGCGCGCGGCATCTCGGACCCCAGAGTTGCGACGATGTCCCGGGCGACACGTGCTGCGAGGAAGTCTCAGGCGAAACGGGCCGGACCACCTCGAGCGCGGCGTCTCAGAGCTCCGAGTTGCGGGGGCCTCCTGGTGCCTCCTGGGGCCTCCTGGGGACCTCCTGGGGCTTCCTCCTGGGCCTCCTGTGGCCTCCTGAACTCCACCTGGGGTTTCCTGAAACCTCTTGGGGCTCCCAGGGGGGATATCTAACCTGTGGCCGTTTGGGCCTTTCAAAGGGGCACAAGAGCAGGAATAAATCAACGAATCGACACCGGATGTGTATTAACTTGACACGTTCTGATAGGGGGCCTCCTGGGGCCTCCTGGGAGCCTCCTGGGAATCTCCTGGGGACCCCTGGGGCCTGTCCTGGGCGTCCTGCGGCCTCCTGGAGCTCTCTGGGGCCTCCTGGGGCTCCCAGGGTCCCAGGGAGGATATGTAACATGTGGTCTCTGGGCCCCCAGGCTGGACCACCAGGCTGGACCACCTCTTGCGCGGCATCTGGGAGCTCAGAGTTGCGAGAATGTCTTGTGCGAAACAGGCCGGACCACCTTGCGCACGGCATCTCAGAGCTCAGAGTTGCGAGGATGTCTCAGGCGAGACGGGCCGGACCACCTCGCGCAGGGCATCTCAGAGCTCAGAAGTTCGAGGATGTCTCAGGCGGGCTCCCAGGGTCCCAGGGAGGATATGTAACATGTGGTCTTCTGGGCCCCCAGGCTGGACCACCTCTTGCGCGGCATCTGGGAGCTCAGAGGTTCGAGAATGTCTTGTGCGAAACAGGCCGGACCACCTTGCACACGGCATCTCAGAGCTCAGAGATGCGAGAATGTCTCAGGCGAGACGGGCCGGACCACCTCGCGCATGGCATCTCAAAGCTCAGAAGTTCGAGGATGTCTCAGGCGAAACGGGCCGGACCACCTCTCGCGCGGCATCTCGGAGCTCAGAGATGCGAGAATGTCTCAGGCGAAACGGGCCGGACCACCTCGCGCAAGGCATCTCAGAGCTCAGAGTTTCGAGGATGTCTCAGGCGAAACGGCCCGGACCACCTCTCGCACGGCACCTCGGGGCTCAGAGTTTCGAGGATGTCTCAAGCGAAACGGCCTGGACCACCGCTCGCGCGGCGTCCCGGAGCGCAACTTTTCGAGGATGTCTCAAGCGAAACGGCCAATCCCGGCCAACTCAGAAACGAGAATTGTGAGGATGTCTCAAGCGAAACGGCCCGGACCATCAAATTTTTGTGAGGATGTCCATGCTTCGGCTTCCCTCGGCCGGAGTTAGCTTCTATCACAACAGCACCGCGGTCAGCAAGCTGTTTGGGGAATAAAACACATATGTTTTCAAATGGGAAAACAAGAAAAAGCTAGAACAACCTGTGACTGACGCTATTTTTATGGTACAGTTGTCCTAGCTTCTTCTTGTTTTCCCATGTGAAAACACAAGCTTGTTCTTGTTTTTTTTTTTTTTTCATGTTTTCCTCTCTAGCTTTCCTGGACCCACGGTGCCGCCATTGCAGATCCCCCACAATTAAAACCTTCTTGTAAGGCCGCCACACATTGAAAATCCCCTTGTACAGGCTGCTACAACAGGATTTTAGATGTGGAGGCCATTGCAGATCCATCACACTTGAAATCGTGTGTAAGGTCGCCACAACATGAATCCTTTTGTAGGAAGGCCGCTACACAAGGATTAAGTGTTCGGTCATCTGCACCCTACAAATAGCGATTGTCACAAGTTGTCCTAGCTTGTTCCTGTTTTCCTTTGTGAAAACACAAGCTTTTTCATGTTTTTCTTGTTTTCCTCTCTAGCTTTCCTGGGCCCACGGTGCCGCCACTGCAGATCCCCTACAAATTGTAAGGCCGTCAGAAAAGGAATCCTTCTGTACAGGCTGCTACAAAAGAAATCTAAGTGTGGAGGCCAGTGCAGATGCTCCACAATGAAAACCCTTTTGTAAGGTCGCCACGGAAGGAATCCTTTTGTAAAGGCGTTACAACAAGACCTTGGGAGAAGAAGAAGGAACGGGAAGTTGAATAATAACAAAGACGACGAACATGCATGATGAGTAAACTGATGATCTTCAGCGTTCCAATCGCCAGGAAACCTCAAAACACTTGATTGTAATCGCACGAACGGCGGGTCCTGCGGGGGGTCTCACTCCAGTTCGAACTCATCCCCTCTTCCCAACGTCCACAGCATGCGCTCGCTCTCTCGGACGTCGGAAGCCCCGGTCGCCCGAGACGTCCTCGGAGCACGACCCGAGTTCCAAACCCGTGCGGCCACCCCGAATCCCCGCCGACTCACCACACAGCATGGTCACCACACCGTTTAGGGGTCCCCGATTCTGAAAGGGCAGCCCTGGCTCCAGATCTGCGGTAGATTCGTTGATTTTCCGATCTAAGATTGTATCGACAGCGGTAACAAAACGGCGAGAACATAGGGCAAGGATTGTTGCCTCAGAAAAATGAGGCGGATATTTCCGCAAAGTAATAGCGGAAACAACGACGGCAAACATCAAAGGAGCTTGAAAAGTAGGGGGGGATTCCCAGCCTCCTTGCGACGTCGCCAAAAGTACGGCGGATCGTGAGTCAGACATCCTTGGAAAAACTCGAGTGCCACAACCGTGCGGCCAGCCTACTTCTGAGAGGGCAGGGCGGCGAGGGGGGGGGGGTCGGACCAGGCCGCGCGGCGCGGCGGCGGCGTCCTCCCAGAACGAGAAGTGCGCGCAGCCCTCCACGGCGGCACACCGCTCCTGGCACATAACCGCAGACGGCTCCACCGTCCTCGGTGGCGGTGTGGGGGGGACGTTTCTCTTCCAATGTTAGCGAACTGGCGGTCTCTGGGGTCCTCGTGGTCAAAATTTCCTTCCCCCCTGGGGCCCCTCCGGGGGCCCTCTTGGGTTGTCTTGGGGCGATCTTGGGGGCCTCTTGGGCTGTCTTCGAGCGGCGGATGCCCGAAAAAACGAGAACGCTAAAGTCCGCCAACAAAAACAATACGTAAATTAATGTTAGCCAGCGCGACCTCAAACAGATAGATAACGCACTTTGGGTGCGCAAGCCATCCAGTGCAAGGGGCGTGGTGCAGAATTCGTCGTGCAAGCTAGAGGCGGCAACGAGGCGGCAAGCCGGACACACCCAGCGCACGAGGCGGCAACGAGGCGGCAACGGGCGGCAACGTGGCGAAACCTCGACGGGGCCATCCAATTCCTTAGTAACCGAGATAAGAACCCTTGAGTGAAAACACTCTGTGGGGGGAAAACATCCAGGGGGTGCCTTTTCCTGGATAGGGGAATTTAACTCTGGGCCTAGAAGAGGTCCGCATATTTCCAATCCATATGGGAACCAATGATCTTGGTCATCTCGATTTTTCCCAACCATCCTGTGGCTTTGGGTCCTCGTTTTGAAGAGACAGTGCCCCGTGTCCTCCTTCATTTTCCTCCCCCCTCCCTTATCCTATCCTCGCCTCTGCCCTCCGCGTGTCAACCTGTTCGGCACACCCCTCACACGCTTCGTGGCCCCGTAGGGAGCTCCAGCGAAAGCTTCAATGGCAAGGTCCACATGCCGCTCCCCGCCCACCGCATGTCCGCTCTGGCACACCCCTTACACGTTTCGTGGACCCACAGGGAGCTCCACCGAACGCCTCAGTGGCAAGGTCCACATGCGGCTCCCCGTCCACCGCATGTTCATTTCGGCTCACCCCTCATACGTTTCGTGGCTCCATGGGGAGCTCCACCGGAGGCCCCAATTGCAGGGTCTACATGCGGCTCCCCGCCCGCCGCGTGTCAATGTCGGAACACCCCTCACACGTTTCATGGCCTCAAAGGGAGCTCCACCGAATGGTCCAGTTGCAGGGACCACATGCGGCTCCCCGCCGACCGCATGGCCAATTCGCCACACTCCTCAGACGTTTTGTGGCCCCATATGGAGCTCCACCGAAGGCCCCAGTGGGAGGGTCCACATGACACCTGCCGCTTACCAGCAAGGGTCGTCACCGAAATTCAGTGCAGCCGAAAGCGATATCCCACCGGCCGTGGGACGCAAACATTTGCCTGCCTGGATACGATACCTCTTCCAGTTCCCTGTCGCTGATTCCATGCACCTCCTCACCGTACGTGACTCCTGAAGCTGGCGCAACCTAAAAACATCCTGTGTAGCAAGGCGTCCTACCCGAGCAAGGAACGTTTCTGCCTAGGGCGTCGCCTGACTCCGTGGCCACGGACTCTGAGAGGACGGCCAGTCGTATCATCGATGCCAAGATTCATTGCCATGCCTGTGCTGCCTTGTCCAGCTGAAGAACCTAGCCATCGCTAAAATTCCCGACGCACTTGCGGGCAACTTACTATCAACTCATATTGAGCTTCGAGCATATGCTCGTGCACATGCGGACGAAAGTAGCAGCCATGTTGCACCCTGCTATGGCCCCTATGGCAACACCCACGTAAGGCCCCAGAAGGAGGAGAAGGGCCAACCGAACATGGGGCAAGAGGAACGGCCCCAACAAATCCTGCAACGACGCGGGCGCACCCGGCTAGACCGCGAAACCGCGCACCGAAAGCTTCACGGAGTCGTCCCGGAGACCTGTAACCTCTATCCCTACAATTATGAAATGCCGTCGCCATTATACCAATGGTAACTGCATTGATCTTATGACCCAGGAGCAGGAGCAGGAGCAGGAGGAGGATGATCCACTCGTGCCTCAGTGGTCTGGTCGATTGAAAAGAGCTCGCACCGCCTTCCTCTTCTTCGCAATGGCACGAGCCCTCGCGGAAAGAAGGGTAGAGAGTGCCTCTTGTCCCCATCTCTTGTGGGCTCGGAGGAAATTGAACGCAGAGATTGCAAGGTCATGCGCGAGCAGTGCGGAGCGGAGAGCGACACCCCCAGGGACGGCCGAAGGCAAAGCAGCAGTCTATCTTCGGGCGACCAAGCGCAATAATCTTCGGGAAGACCAGGAAGGAGACGGGAAAGCTGAGAGAGCAACAGCGGACAGGACAGATAATGCAAGACATAATCGCCACCCATCGCGTTACATCCGAAACGGCAGACTTGGCGACCTTAGTTATATCGGGCAGAGGTGCACCAGCCGTTGCATACGGATCTCAAATAGGCGGCACACGCGAAGGGGGCGATGTTTCCAGCAACGTTTAAATATCGGAAAACTCGGTCAGAATGCAACGCCTGTATATCGGGCCAAAACTTCCTAAGCCTAGGGATTCGAGCAACTGGCACAGGGGCCCGACTCAGAGATTCTTGATGTTTGAGCACCTGGAGGATCCTCTTCTGGAGCAGGGTCATGCCGGGGTCGGAGGGGATGATGGGGATAGCCTGAAAACGTTCAAACAGATTACACAGGGACCCAGTCATGGACTCTCGAACCCAATCGGCCCTCCGAGGCACAGCAAGACGGTCAACTTCATCATCGCGGAGTTCGCGCCAGCGATCGTATATACGAGGGAAAGCTTCGGGCCGAAGACACACACGATACATTGCTGCTTGGTTTTCAAGGGTGACCGAGCGGAACTGGGCAGGCAGACCGATCTCGTCCGTGTGCGCCAGCACGAAAGATGGCACCGCCCACCTCGGGCCTGCCGTCAGAAACTGATGAGCGTCACGCTCAGCACGGAGAACAGCGGCTGGCGCTGGAAGAAATTGAGCAGGAAAGCTGAGCAGAGGAAACCCAAACGTTTTGTAGGCGTAAATATTTTGAGTTAGACCCAGGGCAAGACCTCGAATGTACTGAAGCCGACTTTTGAGCTTTCGCAGGGGACCGATCCAGCTCCGCTCAGGGCCACCAGGCCCCAGAAACATCCCCAGGTACCTGGCCGAAGTTCCCACTTGGAATAACGATACATTGGGCCCGACTCCCTGGAACATGGTGACGATCTCGGCCTTCTCGAGGCCGACTGGGAAAACGATGGCGCACTTCTTCGGGTTGAGCAAAAGGCCTGTGACCCAGGCCGCCTTCCTCATGAGGCGCACGACTATCGGGATAGACACCAGCAAATCCTTAGAGAGCACACCTATGTCGTCAGCGAAAGCGAACGGCCTGTCTGGATGTGGTCTCAGAGCTTTTTCCAAATGCCGAACCAGAGGATCGAAACACAACGCGAAAATCACCCCACTCAGCGGGCATCCTTGCTTCGCCCCGCGGAGGATCTGAAAGCCGGCAAAAACTTGCCCTCGGAGAACAATCTCTGTGACCACATTCTTATACAACTCACTGATGGCAAAGAAGAAATACCTCGGCACACCTAGCTTCGACAGGCAGTCGAAGATCCAGTCGTGATCGAGCGACGGGAAGGCAGCAGCAATGTCGAGCAGGAAAAGCCCTGCTCGCTGACAGTCTTGAAATGAGAAGAGATCTAATAGTTGGGACTCCATTTCCAAGATATGGTCGAGCATGTTGCGTTTTTGGACAAAGCCTTTCTGAGTGGGAGCCTGCACAGCGAGCGGATCGGCAAGAGCAGCAGCCAGCACCTTGTTGTCGCAATTGGAGAGAGAGAGAGAGAGAGAGAGAGAGAGAGAGAGAGAGAGAGAGAGAGAGAGAGAGAGAGAGAGATAGGACGAGTAGCTTCAGCAGCCCGAGAGAGTTCCAAACCTGGACTTTGATCACCTCCCTCCCCCTCCTTCGGGATAAAGACCGTGAAAGTATTGTTGAACCCCTCCTTCATCTCTTTGCAGTCCAAAAGGTCAGAGTAGAGGGAGAACAGGCATTGGTGGCAGAGCTCGCCGCCCGCCTTCCACGCGGCATATCCAATGCCGTCGGGACCTGGGGCAGATTCCTTTCTGGCGGCGAGAACACCTACGAACTCGTGATACATGAGCCTCCACTGGATCCCAGGCGAGACCTGCTGAACCTCCTGAAACAGCCAGTGCTTAACCTCCTCATACTTCGGCCCACGGGCACGCTTAGCGTGGACCTCGCCCCAGTGTTTAGCCAGGTTGCAAGCACTGTTGACCAGAGACCCAGACGCACCACCCCCAAGGTCAGGCAGATGACACAGCGTGAGACGACGACGTTTGGGTGACCATAGCCTGAGAAGATCGTGAAGCTGAGATGGCCGTGAGTCGGCGTGCGAGGCATTGGGGTTCTCGGCAAAGAAGTCGCTGATCTCAGCGTACAAGATATCACTACACACGCCCTGCAAATATTTGTGAAACGCCGCAGTCGGAGTAGCGCTCACCCTCCTCGTCATAGAACTGCTGCAGCACCGGCAGCGACCGAAGACACCTCCTAGCCAGGGCCTGATTATCATTTTGAGTCGCTCGCATAAACTTCAAACATATGGCTACTTTCTGTCGGTCGGTGACAGGGCCGTTACGAAATAGCCTCTCGAGAAGCCTGTCCTTCACCGCATACATACATTCCTTAAGCTCCAAAATGCGTTCTCGAGGGTCCTCCGAAAGCCCGGCCTCCAAAGCCACCTCGTTCAAGAGCTGCTCAAATTCCAGATGCTGAGAAACCCACTTAGGGAGCTTACGTAGGCTGGATTTGTTGGGCGCAAGCTGAAGAACGAGGGGGACGTGATCCGACGGCTCGCGACGATCGTGAGCTTGACCGACAACGAAACTTCTGGGCGACATATCCAAGAGAACCGAACTGGGTAAGTTAGAATACCACCTATCCAGTCGACCGACGCTTACAACAACTTCATGGGCAACGCACCTATGAGTATAATCACCTTGCTCAACTTCAGCAGGATGATGATGATGATGAGGAGGAGGAGGAGAAGGAGGAGGAGGAGGAGGAGGAGGAGGACAAGGACGACGACGAGGGAGGAGTGGGATGATCCCTCACCTGCCCTATTCCCTCCCCCCAACTCCGCCCCCCCACCACCACCCACCCAGAAAGGCATCCGCGGTAGACCCCACCCGCGCGGGCGGGGGGTGCACGCGGTCCTGACCTGCCCCGCCATGTTGACGGGGTCGTACCATGCCCCCGCCCTGAAGCAGGGCCTCGTGTACAGCGGGTAAGGCGGCACAGGCGTGGTCGTCGGAGCCACCAGCGTCGGAGCCACCGTCGTGGGAGCTGCCGTCGTCGGAGCCGCGGTTCTCGGAGCCTTGGCTCGGGCGAGTGGAGGGCACGCAGGGGGCCCAAACATGCGGGCGTCGTGAAATGAAACTTCGACGTGATGCTTGTAGCCGTTTAGCCGTTTTCGGCCCCTGGAGGCCCTTGCAGGGGCTCAAAACATGACCGGAGATGAAACACCGGCCAGGGGAAGGGTTCCAGACCTGTGGGGGTGCACGTAGTGGAAAAATCGCGACGTCGTGGTTCTGGGGAGATGGGGGGGAAATGCGACGATGAGGTGGAGGCAGTACGAGAACGTGAGTGACAGCTCGACTGGCGGGAGCTCGGGAAACGGCAGGAAGCATGCTGATTGCGCACGTGCAGCAGCGGCGGCAGCCAACGGCGCATACTCCAGTTGTTACGAGTACGTAGCCGCCCAGATTGCGGAGAAGAGTGCGGGGGCGGCGGGCGGCGGGGTCGTCGGCAGCCTTGGAAGCTCTGAGAAGGCCGCCGCAAGCGCCGACTTGTCTATTCATTACACAACACTTCTTCCTCTTCAACCCTTGCGAGCACCAGGGGGTGACTTCCGAAGCTGTTCCTCTCACGACCTGCAGGCAGTCTTCTTTCGTTTCAATATTCTGTGGACTGCAAAAGAGAAGACGTGCAGTGGAATATCGACTCTTCTTTCTCCCTTCCCCAAATTACGGCACTCAATGTAGATATCGCAGTCAACCCCGCCCGGAAAGACCTGACCACAGAGACTATTATCTTGGAGTGGATCAACCATGTCCGGTGCCATCTTGTTATCAACATGGGGGAAGGGCCTCCTCATGAAACTCGGTTTGCTCTTCTGTGGCAAGCAAATGACCCTCCCCCCCTCATGTCCACGAGTCATGGTTGGGGTCTTCCGTGGGCTTCCCGGAGGCAGCCTGAGCAAAGAAGAAGAAGAGGTTCGATGCTTCTTTTAGCTCTCAGAGCCGGTACAGGAGGTTGGCTTGATTCCCCCCCTGCTCTTTGGGCTCCTGGCGCTACCACCTCTTCACGTTGGTGCCCCATGTAGGCCCTCGGCATTGAGCGAATTCGACCTATGTGAGCACCATGACCCTTCGGTTTGCCCTATCTCTGCAGGCCACGCGCCTACTTGCATTCTTTCGGTTCGCATGCGCAATTTGCCTGGTCTGTTGTGGGGCACACCTGGCTAGGGTCGTTGCTCACACGGGAAATGTGCCAACAAAAAACTTGGGCAACCGCCTCGACGGTATTCTTCTCACGCCCTCCACGAAAGGCCTACTCTTCTGTCCTTGGCAAAGGGTAAGGCCCGAATCATCTTAGCTATCTTCTAGGCTGCTACAGCCAAAAATATGATTGAGAACATTAGCAATTCCCTAATCAGAGCTTGCCTCAGTAGGGGTCCTAGCGGATTCATATGGTTAGGTTAGGTTTGTCGCCGATTTTCGCTGCACGCCCAGGTGCCCGGGTGCCAGGGGGTGCCCGGGGCCCGGGTGCCCGGGAGTGCCCGGGTGCCCGGGTGCCCGGGCGTGCCCGGGGGTGCCCGGGGGTGCCCTATAGCCCTACAGCCCTAAACCCTATAGCCCATAGCCCTATAGCCCAATAGCCCTACAACTCTAAAGCCCTATAGCTCTATAGCCCTATAGCTCAATAGCCCTATAGCTGCCTAGCCCTATAGCCCTGATTGGGGTTTTCTCCGGTATCATTCAGAAAATTTGGCCAGCTTTCAGAAGTTTCTTAAGGAAACGCTGGGTCAGCTTTTGGAGCCCGGAACGTACACGATTCATTTCTAGGACCCAAGGCTACCAATCCCCGTAAGAAGCTGAGCTAGCTTTCCGGCAAGTTGGTTAAGTAACGCTGGGCCAGCTTTTCGGGGGGAGGTTTCTTAATCGTAAGCGGGACCGTAGGAGGACGAATGCCAGTCCCAGGAGACGCCTCTCCTTCAGCAGTATGAGGATGGAGAGACTGCCCGATCGAGTCTGTTCGACTTCCATGCTCCCCTGGCGCGAGCGCGAGAGAGAAGCCCACGACCAGCCCGCGCCCGCCCTGGACCTTGCCGGTATGGGGTATGGGTGCAGGCGCCAAGCTCAGGACAGACCCTGAGGAGTTCAGGCTCGAATCGTCATCAGACCCTGACTGTGAGGAGTTGCTCCTCCCCGATCCGGCCCCTGCCGAGGAGCCGAGACTAGCAGATCTTCTGATCGCCTCCCCCGAGGGGCAGGCCGCGTCCTGGCCGCTGGTCTCCTCGCCTTTCCGTGCTTCTCCGCCGCCCCCCGACCGATCACACGCAAGCGTGACCCTGGGCAGGCGTGACCCTCGGTGCGCGACTTTGGGGGGCCGTGGGTGGGCCGCATCCGAGCGCGCAGTCCAGTGCCGGGGGGAGTCCTGTGGGCCCGCACCCGTGGCCACTCCAGCGAAGGCTCATTCTTACGCGCAGCCGACCCCGTCCCCCCGCCCCTCTTTCGGCTACACGCAAGAGTGACCCTGGGTAAGAGTGACCTTTGGTGCGCGGCTTTTTGGGGGCCGCGGGGGGACCAAACCTGGGCGCTCAAGCCGCTGCTCCTGCTCCGCTTTCAGCCATCTGGGGACCCATCTGTGCCCGCACCAAAGGTCACTCCGGCGAAAGGTCACTCTGACGTCTAGTCGACTCTTCCCCTCACCCCCGCTCAGCAGTCCAGGACTGCGGCCAACCGCGAGGCGGCGCGTCGCCTCCGAGGGGCGAGGCGCAGCGCGCAGGGTGGCGCCTCGGGGAGAGCGCCCTCCCCCGCCGCCCGCCCTCCTCCGCAGGCCCCGCCCGAGGGGGAGAGGGCAGCGCGCGCGGGGAGGAGCGAGCGCGGCAGGCCTGGGCAGACCTCCTGGCCTGCGTCGGCTGCGCGCAAGAGCGACCCTACCCCGAATGTCTTAGTGAGTGTCCGGTGGGCGTCACCCCCGCCGGCAGCCCCACATCGATCCCCGTCGCGGGCAGCCACCGCGCGCCGAAGGCGCTCCGACCCTCGTCGCGGAGCGACGCCGACGCGAGGTTGACCCCCGTCGCGGGGCTACCCCCCCCACGCTTGTTAACAAACCCAAAGTACGCAAGAGTGGCCAAGGGAGCGCGTTATTCGGGGGCCGCGGGGAGGCCGAACCCGAGCGCACAAACCGCTGCTATCGCATCGCGTTCAGCCATCAGGGGTCCCAGCGTGCCCGCACCAGGGATCACTCTTACGTGTAGCCGACTACGGCCAGGAATGTTTCCCCCCAGCATGTCGCTGCGGCCGCACCGGCGCCACGCTATCCCTCGAGAGCGGATAGCGTGTCGACCCGCTCCGCGGGGCGGGAGGCGGGGAAAGGCTCGGGACGGCTGGGGAACGAACGGGACGCGGGTAGCCTTTCGCGCAGCCGCGTGGGCCAGAACTGGCAGAGCGGCATACTAAGCCAAAGCTCCCGACCGTAGGCGGCCCAGCCCCTCCCTCCTTTCTTCGCTGTACCTCCAATGTGTCGGACGGACAGGCGGCGGACGTGGTCTGATTGTGCCACCCTGTCCCGCCCCGGATTTGAGATCGGAACCTGCCAAGTCCATCGTTGTGCGCACCCCTCCCCCTCCATTTCCCTCCCGCTTCCTCCCCTTCCCCTTCCCACCCCTTCCCTCCTTCCGCCTCCTCCTCCTCCTCCTCCTCCTCCTCCTCCTCCTCCTCCTCCTCCCCTTCCTCCTCCTCCTCCTCCTCCTCCTCCTCCTCCTCCTCCTCCTCCTCCTCCTTTTACTCCTCTAATTATTTCATATGAATAGCCCTTCCTTGTCGCACCCCGGGGCCAGTCGGAAGGGCGGAGTGGGTGTTTCGTCTGAAAACCTTTTACAGCTTATGAGCGTGAAGCTAAACAACTTACAGTCGTTTCACAAATGGAGGGAGGACGGGTCGCTTCCAGAATGTGGCTCTCGCCTTCGCGCTGCGCACTTCCTCTTACACGTTCTCAAATGTTTCGCGGATTGATGGCGGGTGGCTGTCCAAATGTCACTCTCCCCTTGCGCCGCGCGCGTTCGTTTTTTTTTTTTTTTTTTTTTTTTTTTTTTTTTTTTTTTTTTTTTTTTTTTTTTTTTTTTTATTATCTAAAGAAACAAATCCGCCGATCCGGCGTGTGAGAGCCTCAGCAAGAGCTTCAGCTCTGAGCCTAAGCCAAAGCTTCAGCTCTGCTTGGGGGGGTCGCCGGGGTGGCTCTGCTGGGGAAGGGGGGAGGGGGGGGGGAGGGGCAACAAAAATCATTTGCGCATCCCCAAAATGTTTCGGGGGGTCCCAGTGACCTCCTCAGATCTAGCCGCTACCGCCCCCAGGACCTTCCCCTCGGAACCCTCTCCGGACCGCCCCCCCCTGGGAAGGAGGGGAGGGGGTGGGGGAGCGGTCCCCCATATGGCGTTTTCTTAATCATGTATTTGCGCATCCCCAAAATGTTTCGGGGGGTCCCAAGGACCCCCCTCAGATCTAGCCGCTACCGCGTCAGCTCCCAAAAGCGTTCCCGAGGGGAGCGAGCACACGAAGCAAAGGGGTCCGCGGGATGCAGAGGATAACGAGAACTAGGGAGAAGAAAGAGGACCGGAAGAATCGAGGAGGGAGGAGGCCACAGAGCCGCGAAGATCACCGAATCCGGACCCCCCTGGATCGGCGGCGCTGGCCGGAGGCCATTACAATCATTCTTATATAAAAAACCTGCATGGGTTTCGCAAATAAAGGGCAGGCCGTCTTCAAGATGTGGCTGTCGCCTGAACGCCGCGAGCATTCGGTTTAATTGCCCAATGACGTACCGATCTTGCCTAACTAAATTTATGTATGTATTTGTATGCATATGTATGTCTGTCTGTATGTCTGTCTGTATTTATGTATGCCTGTCTGTCTGTCTGTCTGTCTGTCTGTTTGTCTGTCTGTCTGTGTCTGTTTGTATGTGTATGTGTATGTGTATGTGTCTGTGTCTGTGCATGTGTATGCGTGTGTATGTGCATATGTGTGTGTATCGGAGGTTGGGGGGTGAGATCGAAGAAGGACGGAGAGCCCCCCACCGGGAAATCGGTTTCGGTTTCGTATTCGTGCGTGCCGTGCGTGCGGGCGAAGCGAAACCGCGTGGGCGGGCGAAAAGAAAGTCTCCTGTGGCTGAGGCGCGGCCGGACCAAATGATTCCCCCCCGGCAAACGGGGCCGCGCGGTGTCCCGCCGGTGTCCCGCTGGTGTCCCCGCACGTCTCCTGTGGCTGAAGCGCGGCCGGCCCAAATGTTTCCCGACCGGCAAATGGGGCCGCGCGGTGTCCCGCTGGTGTCCCGCTGGTGCGAAAACGATAGTGAAACCGATCGTGATATCGATGGTGAGATCGATTATGAAATCGATAGTGACATCGATGGTGAAATCGATCGAATGAGATCGATGATGAGATCGATTGTGGGATCGATAGTGAAAGCGATAGTGGGATCTAGGCTGAGATCGACGGAATAATATCGATAGTGAGATCGACAGTGAGATCGATGGAGTGATATCGATAGTGAGATCGATAGTGAGATCGATGGAGTGATATCGATAGTGAGATCGATAGTGGGTTCGAAAACGAGATCGAGAATAAGATCGACAACGAAATCGATCGAGTCAGACCGATAGTGAGATCGATCGAATGAGATCGACGGTAAGGTCGATAGTGAGATCGCTCGTGGGATCGATAGTGCGGCCGATAGTGAGATGCAAACCGACATGCGTACATGCGTATCGAAAGCAAATCGGCATGCGCATCGATATGCGAATTCAAATGCAAATCGTCAGGCAAATCGAAATCACGCGCTGTATGCTGTGCCAAGAACGAGCGGCAACGCAACAATCTCTGAACACCAAGGCTCCCAGTACGAACGTTGGCGGAACAGGCTCTTACGGGTCGCTCCAGGAAGCTCCCGGGAGGCCCTAAGAGGCCCCCAAGAAGCCCCAAAAGGCTCCCAAAAGGCCCCAAGAGGCCCCCCTAAGAGGCCCCCCAGAGCCCCCCAGGGGGTCCGCAAGACGAGCCCAAACGGCCCCCCAAGCCCTTGCAAAATGAACGATCTAATATATTATTTCGTTGGTTCCCGGGGGGGGGGGGAATGGTACCAAGGCGCCCAAGAGCGAAAGGTGACGTAAACAACTCGACGCCAAGGCTCCCAAGAGCGAGCCAGAAACGCAACTATCTCTGAACACCAAGGCTCTCATATCGAGCGGGGTCGATAGTGAGATCGATCGAGTGGGATCGCTAGTGTGGTCGATCGAGTGAGATCGATTCGGGGTCCATTGTGAGATCGATTGAACGAGACGTTGAATCATCCCCCCCTAAGCTCTCTTACCATTCAGGGATTTCGGCTCAAGGCTTCTGTTGCGCTCGGCACGCGGGGGGGCCGCGAACGCACCCACTTCGGTCACGCACTTCCTTCGGCCTCGCTACGAGGGGCCAGGCTTTGCTTCCCGAAGTGCTCGACAAGAATGTGGAGACGCTGAAGAACATGAACACCCAGACGGTCAAGTACGCCAAGTGGTACGTGAAGGTCCTCGACCCGAAGGTCCTTGATTACACGTTCACAGCGAGGAACTAAAAAGTGGAGGCGAAGAGGTTCAGTTGCGTTTTGGTGTCCAACGCGCCCGCGCAGTGCATGCTCGGCGCGGCGCCCTTCTGTTTCCAGAATCGGACTGCGGCAGCCGGAGCCTTTTAGAAAATTCACGGCAGACTCCGTGTGGGAGCTCCGGAACCCGAGCTTCGACACCAGAGCCACGTCGGACTTCATTGGCGGTGCGTTGAAGACGGTGGTCTTGCTTTGCAGCCCATCAACACGGACCCGAGTCCCGCCCACCAGCCCGGAAACGTTGGCGCATCCCGCTAAGGGGCTGCAGATCGCATTGGACATCAAGGGCATCGTTGAACTTCTCAAGGAGAATGCTACTGGTGCATCCCGCTGGGCGGCGTTCGACTTCTGCGGCAACGCAACCATCTCCACTGGCATCGTCAGAACAACAATCGCCACTGTTGCCCATTGCTGGCCCCCTCCCCCCCAAACCTCCTTATCACTCTCAGGGTGGTCATATAGGTGTATGTGTGTGTATATATATATATATATATGTACCCGCGCACGAGGCCCGGGCGCCCGGGGCCGCGACGTGGAACGGGCATGGGGGGACCGGGGCCTCTGACACCCCTCCCAGAACACCCCGGAGATGTCGTGGAACCCCGAGACTGCCCCAGAGAGCTCCAAGTCGCTC